CCCTCCCTCTCCTCTCTGGGCCTTTGCACTTTCTAACTCCATCTCTTTACTTGGTGAACTCCTGCTCCTTCTGCAGGCCTCAGCGTAGACATCACATCGCCCCTGAAGTCTTCCTTGGTTATCCCTGTTCTAAGAAGGGAAGGTGGGGATTGATTGGATTTTTCCATACCATTAGTAATTATTGTGATTATTGCTTATTGGTCCATTCTCCGTTTCAGACCAGGAGCTCTGTGAATTGAGTTCACCTCTGAATCCTTAGTGCCAGGCACAAGGCCTGGCTACTCATGCTGAGTAAAATATATATGGCGTGAAAGAATGAATGAAGTCCAGTGGGTTAAGTTCTGAGCTGGAGGTGCCAGATGGGGGCGCAGTGATTCCACTGAAAGTAGAGATTAACGAACCAGGTTTCCCTCCAGGAATCTAGAAAATTCTGTTGGGGATGATATTGTGTGTGAAAAGGCCAGGTAGAGAGTGCCATCTGGGAGTTGTGAGTTGAGGAGCTTAAGTCCCTGGGAGAGAGGAAGGGAGCAGGTCTCTGCCTGCCAGCCCCTCCTCCAAGTTTCCCACATTGCCCCGACCTCCCTCCACCCCCAGCCCCAGCAGCTGGCCAGGCTTGTCAGTGGACAGGCCTTTGTGCTGGAGGCCCGGCAGTTGGTGAGAGGCATTGAGTCCCAACCGTCAGCGAGACTGTCTGGGGAAGAGGTGGGGGTGGGGAGGCCCTGTCTCAGGAAGGGGAGGCTCTTCCTCAGGTCTCAGCTTCTGTCCTGGCTCCTTGTGAGCCTGAGGGAGGAGAGGAGAGCTGCTCCCCATGGTGCCCCCCGCAGGTGGGGTGAGGCCTGCTGAGGTGTGTGCAGGTGCGATTCTGGCATCTGGACAGGCAGAGTGGGGAGAATGTATGTGTGTGTGTATGATTGTGGTTGTATGATTGTAGCCCAGGGCACAGGACATGTGTGGCCTGTCAGGGTATCTAGCCATCTGGTTACTCTGTGTGGCAGGCTCTGAGTGTGGAGTAGGGAGGCGACCAGCTGCTTTGGTCCTGGGGGAGGCTGATGCTAGGGTCTCCGGGTATCTAAGGGTTAAATTCTTGGAGTTTGGGTGCAGAGCTGTTTGGGTGGGTTGTGTTTCAGTATGTAAGTGTGGGTCTCCCCGTGCCAGGATGTGGAGCATCAGGGTGTGCCAACGTAAGGATATCCTAGCGTCTGTGTAACCGGAGGTGGGTGTATCCAGGTGTCTGGGAGTCCTCAGGCTAATGGGTGTCCAAGTGCAGGAGGGTGTTTGTGTTGTGTCCAGCTGTGGGCTGTCCCTGTGCCTGGATGTCTGGGTGGGGGGTACGAAAGTGTCTGGATATCTGAGGTTGGGGTACCCCTGTATCCAGCAATGGGCTACACATGCGTTGGACTATCCGGTGTTTGTGAGTCTGGCCATGGGGTGCCCCGTGGTCGGTGTGTCTGTTTGGATGTTTAGGTGTGTATGTCTCCAGGAAAGGGATGTGCATGTGGACCAGGAACTGGGACTGTGTCAGCTCAGCTTTTGACACCCCCTTCCCTGGGTCTTGCCTCCAGACTTTCCTTCAGACCCCAAGGCCAGGAGCCGCTGGAGGAGGCCCGGTTTCCCCGTGGTTAGTCAGCTTAGAGCTGCACATTCCAATAGAACTTCCTTGCAGCGATGGACATGTCTCTCCCTGCACTCTCTAACATGATGGCCGTGTGGTTATTAAATTTAAGTTCGTTAAAATTCATTGAAATAAAAACTCAGTCCCTTAGTCTCACCAGCCAGA